TTAAATCGTATCTCATTACCTAATCTCAGTGTGTTAAAATAGTTTGTCCAAAATCTACTTTCAAGATTGTTGTCACTGGTATTCCACAAGGTTCGGTCTTAGGTCCAATTCTGTTTTGTCTTTGTCTTCATACATATAAATGATCTACCATTTGTGTTTCAAAGGTGCAATGTATCATGATGTATACAGATCATATGGTGATTTTTGTAAAGGCTTAAGACCATTCTGAGGCTGCTGAGCATCTCACAAATATTACAGTATGTAAACCGGTTGAGTAACTTTCATTTACAACTTAATGCTTCCAAAATTATTGCTGTTTATTAACCAAACAAATGAATCACACTTAGAACCTCATGTTTTTATTTCTGAACAGAAAATCCAAACTGTCAATTAATTTCAATCAAGAGTGCTTGACCGATTGTGGTCGACCGATAGTCCAAGAACTGGTCCCAAGTCGACTGCGGTGGGTGTAGGGAGAAATCTGGAGAGGGGAAAAAATGTTTGTGTGCATGTTATTAATACCGGTACATATTTTTGTGTTAGTGTACCCTGCATGCTAAGCATCATATCAGTCTCACGGCCACAAAAAAGTTTGTCTCCTTTAACCGCGACACAGGAACTTCAGCAGTCTGCAATTGCAGCTGGCGATGAGAGCCGCTGAGATTTTTACATTTTTTTGTTTATTGTCATTCACTGTCTTGTTTGATCTGCAATGAACTTATGTCATTGGCTAAGAAAGGTAATCTGGAGTGCCAGGAGCAGCATTTTAAAATGGTACACGCGAGCTACGATAGTGATGTTTCTGCACTTAACATGCTACAAAAGTGCTTCCCTGTGTCAGGTGTCCCACTAATGTAGGCAGCGATTTCCTTTTAACAAATTCACGCTTGTCTTGTATCTAGTTTATTTTTCTGTTTCGTTCATGTTAGGGTCCGATATGGTTGTTGCTCATCACGGCATGTGTATGTGCGTGTGTTTATGTGTGCACATACATGAGTGCACATCCAAGGATGGGCCAATAGTGGGAGGCTGGCTGTTTGAAAAGTGGCTCTTCGGTTAGAAAAGGTTGGGCATCACCCATTTAAATACTTAGGCATTATGTTCATTAACAATTTGACTTGTAAACATCATCTTGAAAAAGTGAATCCAATTCTCAATTTCACACTAGCAAATTTCATGTATCTTATTAATGATTTGTAGACAGAAGCTGCATCAGTGTAAATGTTTTCCCTTATAATGTCTCATGTTAATTACTGTCCACCCACCTAGGGCAAGCCAAGCACTTAAAATTATTGGTTTAAAACATGAAGATCCTACCATCATTGCACAACCCTCAATACATACAGGTTACTAAGATGGGAACACATTTTACGGACTGCTGCCTTGTATATCTGTCACGTTAGCCCAGGGGTGTCAAACTCATTTCACATGGTGGGCCACATACGGCCTGGGTAGATGTCAAGTGGGCCGGACCATTAAAATGATACCATACTTTGCTATAAATAACCAAAACAACATGTCTTTCCTTTGTTTTGGTATAAAGAAGCACAAGAACATTAGGAAAATGTTGAAATTAAATGAACATATCTTTTACAAAACATTTCATGAAGCACCTTACATTTCCTTCGACAAATGTGCAATTTACTTTTATCATTCACATATATGCATTGCAACTGATCCCACTGATTGTACAAACTTTAACAAGTAATTGGTTTTGAAAAATATAGTAATGCACTTTAAGATTAAACGAGATTCATAAAGAAAGGAAGTTTTAAACCATTTACACGTGCATATAAAATCTAAATGTAATCCCTGCCTACACCTTACAAACTAAGGAGCGTGCTATTAAATGTGTAAATGTGAGAGTGCTATTGATAGCGTCTGCTGTCATGGGTCTGTCTCAGTGATGGACTGAGGCTGCTGTTGTCTTGTTCTCTGATCAAAACAGTGTCCCCTAGCGGATACTCAATGAATTGCACCTTATTAAAAATATTTATTCTGTGTCTTTTATGCATTTTCTTCACTTTTAAATTATCCCGTGGGGCCTGATTGAACGGCCCGCGGACCGCATGTTTGACACCACTGCTTTACATAATCATCTCGCGGGCCGGATTAAAGTCCTTTGCGGGCCGGATCCGGCCCGCGGGCCGTACGTTTGACACCCCTGCGTTAGCCCCTCTTCCACTCCGTAGCCTCTTATAATTTACATCACCTGCAATGAGGTTTCGTCTTTTTTTTGTTGTTATTGTTTTAGAGGGCAGGTTATGAGTGGAATGCAATCCCACAAAACAGAGTCCAACCTATTTCAATACAATTTAAACAAATGGCTAACTGACAATCAAATTTGTCTACATTAATACCTGTCGTCGGGTTATTAGTCAATTAATTAGTTTGTTAGCTACCGGTAGTTGCGGTTTGAATATTGCAGCTGTATTTTGTTTTGCGATCAACTTTTTTTTGTTTTTTTTTTAAATATCAGGTCATATTGCCATGTTCTTTTTGGCAAGGGGACTACCAATGGATTTTGGCTGTACGGATATTTATGTGGATTTTTGCCTATAATTGTGTGCATTTCCATTTCATTGCCGCGATGTTCTCTAATCTACATTGTCCCTCGATTGCAAATAAAGAGGAAAGACAATAGAAATCAAGAATCTCAAATGAGCACTACGTGTTGACAATTTTTTTTTCTCTTCGTGAGATATTAGTAAATCTTTGATCCATTATCTTTTTTTTCATTCCATCATTCCGATTCCCAAATATCCCTCATCCTCCCAATTGTCAACACAACAATCCAAAGCAAACAGAACCACCACACACAAAGGCATGCCCTGTCGTACAAGTTTGTAGTTTATATGAATATCCAGATATCAAATTAAAAACTACAGTGTCGAATAAGTAGCTATGAGTCAAAATGCATTATGCCTCCCCCAACATCTTGAACATCAGACTTATCATCAGTAAAACACCTCACCACTGTAAGATAGTGTAGAAATGAGTCTCTGAATAATAATTCTGCTCTATAATCATAACAACAACAGTTTCTCTCTGAAGCATTTGCAGATACATTTCAATCAGGGATGTTTTGCAATTTCATCAAAACCTCCAAGTCCAAGCAGCACAACCTGGGTAAAAATAGATAAATAAATAAAATCAAAAGGTCGGGTGGGTGAAGCTAAAATTGGCATCATCTTCACTTTCAAGTGGACAGCTAATCTAAAAAGGGACTGGTGCCACGTGTAACTTCCAAAGGCAGGAAAAGATCTTGGTAGCAACTGCATCACGTTGATTGACACTGAGGCCCAATAAAAGACCATACTAAGTTATAAAGGTGGAAAGAACTGTGAACCTTCGCTGTACAATAAACACCACAACTAATCCTCAAATTACTAATTTATAAAAATTATGACATACATTTGTGTATATCAGAGGCGATTGCTCTAAGACTGCAAGGGAAGCTCAGCTTCCCCTAAAATGTCAAAAAATAAGTGATCAAATGCGTGTACATACAATTGTGTGTACATGTCATTGACTAAATATGCGCTACAACGCGCTCAAGTTTTTTTCCGAATCAGCTGCTTATTACTGGTTATGACGCAACTCACTTCACATTCATTCACAGCTTCACTGTGCTTGAAACTTTGTGGACGCTGAGCGTCTGGAGAGTTCAGTGTAGACGAGTCATTGGACAAATGCTGGTTTTGTCCCGCCCGTCGGATGCTCAGCGTCTCTGGGAGTCTATGGACAGTGGGCGTTTTATTGTAGTTGCTGTCGTTGTAGGACACTCGTTAAGTCCCTGGAAAAGACGCCTTGTTGGTATGACAGGGTCACAGATAATTTTCTTGAAAAGGAACGGAGAGTAGAATCCACGTATAAATAAACGGACACATTTTATGATGTAGGCCGAAATTGAGCTTCCCCTCCTTGACAGACCAGCATCCGCCACTGGTGTATATGTATTTGCTTTGCTACATTTGCCACATCTAATTAAAGCTATTCTGTCCCAGCAAGAGGCAGTATTTGAAGACTCCTGACTTCTAGTTAGGGTGACTTGTCAGTGTTGTGCTGGAAATGTCATAATATTCGATTTAAAGTCAAGTTTTGGACTTACTTGTGAAAACAGATCCACGTTGCCGTTCTCTTGAGCCAACGTAAATATTTTGTAACCCCCCCCCCCCAAAAAAAAAACCAGTAACCAATTATATTCAAACAGTGCTAAATCTTGTCACAATTTCCTCACATATGTACTTACTCAAGATGAAATCCGGGCCTGAAAATTGAACACAAATAATAAAATAATACAAATAATTCCGTTGTCTGAAAAGCAACAGGTTGACTGCATCCTCTTCCATCTCATGAAAGAGCATTTCATCGTGCTTCCTGGACACAGATAAATGAACAAAGATGCATTATTTGTACTTAATGCAAATTTCCTGACCAATACAGTGAAATGTGTTGATATCCTGTGGCACACCTCATGATATTTCAGGCTATGTATGTGCTATGGCAAAGTGGTTGAGAGTCACTGCTCTTGAGGGACCAGGCAACCTAACAGGCTCATTCTCACTCCTACATTATTAAAGCCTTTGGATACCGGAATGCCCACATGTTTTTATTTTAGTTTATTGCACTTGTCATATTTTATTGTAGATTCAGCTATTTGGAGGGAATTAATTATTTACAATGCTGCTCCCTAAACACTTTTGAAGGGTTTCTTTCTTTTGGCTGCCTTATATAATTGGCAGATGCCCTCTAGCCCCATCTTTTCGATTAGCAGATGTTTCACTCCCGTCCATGAGGTTGTTCTACTTTCTTCTGTTTCATTCTTGCAAAAATACAGTGTGTGTGTGTGTGTGTGTGTGTGTGTGTGTGTATATATATACACACACACACACACACACACACACATTATTTTAACCATCCTTGGTTTGTTGAGCTACTTAGCTTCTTGGAGCCTACTGACTATATTTTCCTTTTTTTTTTTTTTTTTGGTTGTTCAGATCTTCTGACTCAGGCTCCACATATGAGAAAATGAATGACAAAGTTGGATCCAAGACTGTTCTGAGTTACCTTTATGTCTGTCCAACCAACAAGAGAAAGGTAAGATGCTGCATGTTTTTTTAACCCTTATTTATTTTCAGCCTCTATGTGAGGACTAAAATGTAGTGATGGGTCCAGCCACACCAATGCGTTGACGCATGCGTCGGGGTCACAGAGCAATCCACGTGTCGGTGCGTGTGCTGCTTCATGAGATCACGTGATCAACATGTGAATTGCGTCGGCGAAGCCTGGACTGCCAGGCTGCGTGACACAGTCCAGGCAGAGTCGACTCAGTCCAGGGGGCGTCGACGCAGCAAAAGCCCGCCACACAGTGTTTATAAGGAAGTGCGTCTAGCTACACGATGCCGCTTGCCGAAACAAGCCAGACCTCACCCTCGCTCGAATAAAAATACATATTTGGGCAAAACGGAAAACACACAGATTGTCAGAAAAACGTGTCCGTCTGACTTCGAGCGTCGTGTCGGCTGTCATATAATAGGCTATTATTATATGAGAAGTGCTTTATGAACGTTTGTACTGTACGTCATACTCCAGTTGATTGAGAGGTCCCGCCTATAAGGGGGAGTTCCAGGAAGTGACTGCGAGTGAGCACACCGCATGTTTGATGACTCTGTCACGTTGTTATTAAAAGTCACATAAAACATAAACCTTGTCTGCTGACCATCATTACATCAGCATCTCCTTGTCTCACCAAGTGCCTCTCGGATTTTTGACGTCTTATTCCATTGTGTGTGTGTTCTCCACAGCAGGGGAAATAGCATGCACGAAACACAACAGACTGAAATATAAAACACTAGAGCATCTTATTTTTCTAAATAAAAATTTGTGAAGACAAAGCCCTCAAGCATCCTCATTCACATGATTTTCACATTATTGAAACACATTGAATGATACAATATGAATGCATGGATGTGAACGATATTGTCAAGGGTCAAGGTCATCTTGTCAAATATGCTTTATGTATGACATGCAGCATAGATGAAATTTCTTCCTCTCAATCCTCAGTGCAAATATGCATGCAAACATGCTGTGCATTAAACACACACAGCTAAGAAGGTATAGCAGCTACACTGTATAAAAAACATATGTAATCTGAACAGTATAAACAGTATAGACGATATAAACAATATAAACAACATAAACAACAACATAAACAATGGCACTTGTGGCTATTGTGGGTAAAGTGAGGTAGTGCATTGTATACACTTCATCAAATCAGTCAGTTCAGTCTGTAAGGCGGGTTGGCTGCAGGGATTTTGAAGGTCCAGCAGGTGGCAGTGGTCAGTGACACAGTATCAGCACAGTATCAACACAGTGTGTCAGCGTGTCGACATGTCTCATGAGGCCTCATGGACCCATCACTACTAAAATGAATGTTTGAAACTTCATCATTGATTAACATCACAAGCTGTCTGAAAGCTCTTTCAATTTACAACTTGAGCCGCATGATACTCTAAAAGGTCTGGTATCAAATATTTATTTTGTAACATCTGTCTCAAAAATCTGGATGAAATGAAATACGCACATTATTGTTCCTCAAATGGTAGTGTTAGCCACCTTCGTAATACAGGTGTCCAGTTTTTCGTGGTGGAACTGTAGTTGTAGGACCCCAAAAAGCAAGGAACAGGCAAGGAGACGCAGGGTGGAGTGACCAAGATGTATTTAACAAAAATGCAAACAAGAGTGCACTGGAAAATTACTAACGAGAAGTATTCAAACAAAGTCCTGGAAATCACAAGGAAGCCAAAGTAACAAAAGAAACCTCTGACAGAAAACAAAATGTGACAGGAGCGAATCACACAGATGCTCACATATCGCGCGCACACTCACAATGACCCAACAAATACTGACAGAACTCAGGGAACTAAATACAAGCAAAGTGACAAGACAACGAGAAACACCTCGACAAGACACAAAGGGTCGAGGGAGCTGATTGGTTAAACACAAGTGACACTGATGACGAGAACAGGTGGCTGTAACGGAGTGATACGTTAAGCTTGTTAAATTATGCAGAAGTGAGACAGTACAATGGTGACCAAAAGGGCACATGAGGGAACAAAACCAAACGTAAGCAAACAGAAACATAACAACAGGTGCTCCTTGAGTCACAAATGTCCAACTGACAAATATTTGTACAGTGGCGAAGCGAGACTTTTATCCTTGGGGTAGCCATAGGTGGCCAGAGCTATCTCAGGGGATTCACAAAAAAAAAAAAAAAAAAAAAAAACTTGGAAACGTTATCAATTATCAACATCCATTTTTATATTGAATAAAATTCACACACGTGTATGCAAGCATCCACATACAGAGTTACTCACACTAAACGTGTGTGTGTGTGTGTGTGTGTGTGTGTGTGTGTGTGTATATAAATTGTTCTCTTTTTTGAATGAGTTGTTCACTCAGACACCCCTTTTATACTCATACTGGTCTTCCGTCAATCATGAATGAATTTTATGTTTCCATGTTGAGTTTTTGAAACCATCAATGATCAGTCTTTTAATCAACATCTTTGACCCAGCCTACGTTTTAATAAAATACATTTTGAAATGCATTATTTGGAATAAAATAAAAATACAGTTATCTGTTTGAAATATATCCTGTTGTGCCATTTCTTTCACACTGAGTCACTTGTGATACGAGAAGGCATATCATTGCTCTGGCACCAGAGTTGCTCACTTTATTTTAATATTTTTTGTGTATCTGGCTAATGGCTGCAACATTTATTCGTAAACATATTAAGGATATGATATTTCAAATAAAAGTTATTGATGGTCTATTGGTACACTCGCCTGGCTTGTGTGCGGGCAGCTTTGGATTGGTTCCCACTCAGTAACAGTGTGGATGTGGGGGTGAATGGTTGTTCGTCCCTATAAAACTTGTATATCACTCCTATGATGCCATTTTATCATATTTAAAAAATATACAGTATACCGTATTTTCCGCACTATAAGGCACACTGAAAAGTCACCCATTTTCTTAAAAGCTCCCAGCACACCTTAAAATCCGGTGCGCCTTGTATATGGTCATTATGGTTATACGCCGGCCCCCAAAATGGCTCCTTGCTGGAGACATGCTTACAATGTTATACCTTGCTGTTGATTCAGTGACCTGTGTCGCTGCTTTATTGAATAACTTTGTGTTGCAGCTCTGAAAAAAGGAGAGCTGTGGTGTTGTTTTTTTAAAACACACACTTTATTAATGGTTTTCACAGTCTCAACAAATACAGATATGTCTTTGTCCGTCTCCGTGCCTTCTCTTCTTTCGTTCGACTCGAGAGGCGTTCATGACCGCCTCCGAAAAACGTAAATTAATGATTCCTTAAATGAAACTGCGAAAATTGAAAACAATGCATCAAAACAGAAAATCAAGCGAGTAAATCACAAAATAAATTGTATAGCTCCCCCCTACAGAATTTATTTAGGTATTTCCTCATTTGTGAATACAGTGCACAACAAAGGAATAAATAACAAACACTTCTGAGACAGTCCAGTCTCCTACATTTTACTGACATCTCAAGTCAAGTCAAGTACAATTCTATTGTCAAATGTGCGCACAGATGAAATTTCCTCCCTCTTAAACAGATAAGACAACATTTGATCGTTCTGTTGGTGCTACGCTCAAGGAAATGCAGTCATGAACGCCTCTTGAGTCGAACAGAAGGAGCGTAGCTCCATCTAGTGGATGCATTGTAGATTGCGCCTTATAATGCAGTGCATCCGATATATGAAAAAAATTACAAAATAGGCCATTCATTGAAGGTGCGCCTCATAATTCACTGCACCTTTTAGTGCGGAAAATACGGTATTTCAAATTATTCCTCCAACTCCTAATTTGATGGCTCTAATATTTTCAGTGTTAATTGTACGCACCAGTGAGACAGTGCCGCCGGTTTCAATAGATGCTGTTCACCATAATTGACTTTAAAGGATACTCACAACAGAATTTAAAAAAAAAAAAAAAAAAAAAAAAACCTTCATTAGCTCAACAAACTGAGCGATGATCATTTTAGCCGATGATATCATAGCCAGAGCACAAGCCTTCAAAATGATGGTTCTTTCCAGAACCATCATTTTCGAATTCAAATTTTGAATTCTCGTAGTCCTAAAACATACCATCTTACTGAAATCAATCTTGTTTGATGAGCCCAACGTTGGGTTGTGGCCGAACAGCTACAAGAGCGTTGAATGTTAAAATTAAGTAGAGGTACGAGAGATTGGTGATGTGTCAATCGCAACTGTTTTCCTTCAAGTGAATGACTGGAGCAGGCTCTTGATTGGGAGCCCATTTTGTATTTTTTTTCCTCTTCTTTTCTTCTCTTAAAGCTACATGCGATTGGATGTGTTGGTCCATACAAGGCGGAGGGGGGGTGGTAATAGGCACGCAGCTCTGTGAGCTCATAAACTGGAGGGAGGTCAGAGATGAGAGCATCGCTACACTGTTAGGATTTACATGCACTGTCACAAATGTTAAAAATAAATAAAGAAAGAAAGAGTGCATCGAAAAAAGAAGTCAAATGTAGACGCATTTTAAAGTTAATAGTTCAAGGGCAAAGTGAAGACTTGGGAAAATTTGAATTTCATATTGGGCAAATTCCACAAACAAACTATATTAGGCAAAACCATACCGTTCACCTGTTTCTTCAGTGAGAGAGGAGTGGTGAAAAGACAAGCCACGGAACCGCTGTTAATGAATGTGCAAGTATGCCTAATGCAACAGTTGCTGCTCCAACAATAGTGAAAAAAAAAACCCAACAACTTTTTTTGATGTTCTTTTTTTATTTGTATTCCATTTTTTTAAGCACTTCATGTATGAGACCTAATGAAGCAATACAAAATATGTGCATTCAATATAATGTATATTTTAAATGAATAATTCATTTAACAAAATAATTTGGTTATAAAGGGAAGCAAAAAAAAAAAAAAAATTGAGGATTCACTTGGGATCCGAAAAATCTATTTTTCAGGACCTGAGCCTTAAAAAATGTCTGTTTACAAAGAGCCAAATTGCCATTTCTATCAGAGATGGAAGACTCATTCTGGATAAATCACACCGTACCGGATCGACTGGGCTTAGTGTGTGTCTGCTAGAAGGTTTTGCACAGTTGTTGTCGCAATATGGTCAATAACCATGGATAAAGTCTTAATCAACCACATTTAGCAATTGTGTTTGCACTTTCTCGCTTCCTGAATTGCATTTTCAGTTATGTCTTCTTGTTAATGTTTTTTTTTTTTTTGTTTGTTTTCTGAGGTGATATATCATTAAATGAGACATTAGATTTCTAATCCTGAGAAAACTTACACATTTGTTCTGGCTGCATAATGTTCTTGATTTACATGATTTAGGACGCCATTTTTTCAGCCAGGGTCTCCATTTTCGATAAGATTTCAACTTAAAAATATATTCATGAATACTATACACTTATAAAGAGTATAAAACATTGAGTCATTGATTTGTATTCAGGTATACATTGCCATTCAAAAGGTTGGGATTACTCAGAAAATCCTTACATTTTAAAGAAATGCAATGCCTGTTCATTTTCTTAAAAACAGAACACAATGTCTAGAACTGTATTTCTAATTGTTATCGTCATTGATAAAACAGTGAATAAGACTATTTTTAAGTGACCCCAAACTTAAGAACATCATTTTTTTTTCAAGCCAAACAAAACTGTATTTTTCATTCCGTCATGTTATTTTAAAACAATGCTTCTGTCATCGCTTCTGTCAAGAAATTTAACTGGTTGTCCCATCCAAAAGAAGAAAAGAAAAACAAATAGCTTTTTTTTCTCTCTCTCTCTCAGATTATGGTGTTGACTGATCCTGAGTTTGAGAGCAGTGTGCTAATCAGCTCTGATGAAGGAGCCAGCTACCAGAAGTACCGCCTCACTTTCTACATTCTAAGCCTATTATTCCACCACACTGAGGAGGACTGGGCCTTAGCTTACAGTCACGATCAGAAGGTAAGATTGAGCTACATTTGATTCTTCATTCGAAAATAGCAAAAGGAAGGGTTTGCCACACCAATGTAGTTGTCAAATGTGGTCAAACTCAGCCTCGCTTGTGTTTTATCTTCTTCCCCTACTTGTTTTGCCCCTTTGTATTTTTGGCAGTCTAGATTTCCTGTGGCACTGCGAGCCTCATTTTTTTTTTTTTTAATGTTCTGTAATTGCGATCACTCTGCTATATCCACAAAAAAGATGTTTTCCCCCACAAATCATATTCTTTCTTACTATACTGTATAATACATGATGTCAAACGTGTCGGTGATTGATTGCTGGCTCATTTTGATCCAACGCGGTCTGACTCCTGAAGCACAGGGCATAAGATAGTTTTGCAATTTCAAAGAGCATACATATTAGATGTGGAGTGAGCAAGTATTCAATGCATACAGTAACTCTGTAAATTGTCCCCCTATCCAATGATTCCACGGCCCACGGTCATTTATTCCACACATTTGTCACAGAAAGCCTTACAATGAAAAAGCTACTCTGCACGGAAAAATGAAATGAACGTGTCAAACAGTGTTGTGTAAGCATGAGTGACAATATTAGAAAGCGAGACAAACGGACCGAGAGACAGAGCGACAGAGAGAGAGAGAGAGGCTGCTGGCGTCTGCACCTCATTTGATTGATGGAGCAAACCGCTACATTCAAATCAAGCTTTTGAATCCATGTTTCAACATGATTTCCTCGTCATGAGCGAAAAGGCTCTCGTCAGCTTCCATTGTGCGTTACACTGTATACAAAATATGCGGTGCATCTGGCATACCATCAAATTGGGAAGATAAATAGCAGCCACATAGCCACATCTCACTGAATAAATACACCTCAGTAATGAAGACAAGATAAAAATCGAGCCAAACAGTTCAATAAGGCTGCGTGGTGGTATTTGGCAACTGGGAAGACAGTCAGGTCTGATCCATGCTGTCAGATGCATTTTGTATTTGCATTTGCATCATCATTCTGAATCTGGCACCAAAAAAAAAGAAAGCACCAGAAGCTGACTGCCTCTGCTGCACTTGTTTTCATTCCGCACCGAATGTCTCATCTGCAGACATCCTAAGGGTGGTTTAAAAAAAAAAAAAAAAAGTTCTTCATTTAATAAATCAAAGAATTTACGCCAATGTTAGTGGTCTCTTCATTCCCCCTCACAGCCTCTACCCTTCATTTTGACATTCAACCCAGCAGCATGCAGCTTTTAAACGGTCATTTTCAGCGTGTAACGAACTAATGGTTTTCAAACTGCGTCACTCTGAATTTAATCAGCAGTGTGTTGATGTTAGGCAAGGGGAAAGTGGGGCTTTTAGTACTTGCGTGCAGGGGTGAAATTCTATTTTGTACAATATTGAAATCCATGATGGGGGGATAGAAAGGAGCAAGCTGTTGTGTTATAATTCTTGATTTTTGTTTTTAAAAAAAATCAGGTCGCTGTCTTCATTGAGCATAATTATTTATTTTAGATGATAAACTCACACTGACCTTTCAAGACTCTTATCTTTTCTCAGTGAGCAGTTTGCGGAAACAATTACTGATTGATCTAGACTTTAGCTGGCAGAAAAGAAAGTCTTTTTTGCAGCCGCCAAGGGACGGTATTATATAAACGCTCTATTGTGAAAGAAAAAAATGACACAAACTGAAATGCTGTTTCACAGAGTGTGTTCCCAAATTAATATGCACATACGTTTGAAACAAAATCAACATTTGGATTTATTTTTGGTGCGAAGCGTGTGAATTTCTTTGTCCTGTCAATTGAGTTCACTGACAAAAAAAAAAAATTCTCAAAATAGACAAAATTGATCATTAATTCCCTGGCTGAGCCTAATTTAAGCAACATTTCTTGAGGAGGGTGTTCCACATTATTCGGAAAGTCATTTAACCTTTAAGCATATTGGGTTGGACAGAGGGCTCTTTGTGCTGATGAAAAGCGTGAAATGGTCCCCTGCCTTGTGGAAAGACTGAAAACATGACATGAAAATCATCCTACTGTTAAATAATGTGTGTGAGAATTATTCATTCATTCATTTTCCGAACCGCTTTATCCTCACGAGGGTTGCGGGGGAGCCTATCCCAGCTGTCTACGGGCAGTAGGCAGGGGACACCCTGAACCGGTTGCCAGCCAATCGCAGGGCACACAGAGACGAACAACCATCCGCGCTCACACTCACACCGAGGGACAATTTTAGAGTGTTCAATCAGCCTGCCAAGCATGTTTTTGGAATGTGGGAGGAAACCGGAGGACCCGGAGAAAAACCAGTGGCGGACCCTGAGGGCCAGCAAGGCCTTCGCTGCTGGCCTAAACATTAATTTACTTTTCTGAGAATAACATAAATTTGTTATTTTATTTTCATAAATATGTTAACAAAATTATTCTCTGTATTCTTTACGTCATATTATTTCCACTTAGTTGAGTGGCTTTCAATGTTATATTAAATAACATTGAAAGCCACTCGAAAAATAACTTATTTATTATGGTAGAGTTTTTAACCAATCATATTTCATCTAGCTTGTGTTGCCAGGTTAATTAAACTTGCTCGGGGCCTTCAGATTAAACAGAGCAGGCCCCTGTGCGCTGTAAATGAAC